CCGAAGGTCGGTAGTCCTCGTGAGCCTCTGCCTCGAGCACCCTCGTTCTCTTCTTCTTCACGCGCGTTGGCTGTTTGGTGGAGTACCGCGCGCATGCAGGCCCAGCTCGTGCATTGCGGTTGGCTTCGTCACTCGTAAGTCGTGCCGTTGGCTATCCAAGTTTTCGTATCGTCCAAAACACCATTACGATTCTCAGCGCAAACCGCGTCTGCAGTTTTCGAGAAGTTCCGGACTGTAGTAGATCATTTCGATAAGATCACGCCCACTGTGCGAACGGTACAGATTGTTCTGGAACCTATGCCACCGCCAGCGATAACGCTAGAACATTCGATGGCAAGAGTATAAATGCCGACGCGCTTCGCCGCTTGTCAGTTGTTGATCGAAGGCCGACGCTCCGTTCGCCGCTATCAGTCCGAGACTGCTATCTGTGCAAGACTACTGCTGTAATTGGACTTTCCGTTTACCGGGCACAGGTTCGCCCAAATAAACAATTAAATCCCAACACGAAGTCTCCTGTCTTCGGCCACGTCACGACCCCGTGACATCTGGTGGAGGTGCTGCTTCGTTCATGTACCGGACGCCCACGTCGCGGAGAAGACACCGACGCCAACCAAGAGCAGCGAACAAGCCGCCGACAGCAAGGTCTCCCACCGGAGTACGGGCTTCTACAAGACAAGGCGCGGAAGACCAAGGCCATGACCTCTACTGCAGCGACAATGACAACCGGAGCGTCCCAGCCCGCGATCGTCATTCATCAACCCAGGGAACCACCAACGTTTCATGGGTCATCGTTTGAAGACCCGGAAACCTGGCTAGAAACATACGACCGTGAGGCCGCCCTCAACCACTGGGACAACGAAGAAAAGCTCCGTTGTGTGTACTTCTACCTGGAAGACACCGCAAGGACCTGGCTAGAGAATCGTGAGTCCACGCTCCAAACGTGGGATGTCTTCTGCGGCGCATTTCTGCAAACGTTCGCGAGTGTTGCTCGCAAAGAGAGGGCCGCTGCTCTACTAGAGACCCGGGTTCAGCTACCAAATGAGAAGGTTGGAATTTTCACAGAGGAGATGACCTGCCTATTTCGTCACGCTGACCCAGACATGCCTGAGGAGAAGAAAGTTCGTTTCCTCATGCGAGGGGTCAAACAGGAGCTCTTCGCGGGACTAATGAGGAATCCACCGAACACCGTCCAAGAATTTGTATCCGAGGCGACCACCATCGAAAAAACCCTTGACATGCGCACCAGACAGTATAATCGTCGCCTGACTCCAGAATGCGCTGCTGCTCAAACCAGTGACTCCGGAAACCTGCGTGAAACGATCTGAGCGATCGTGCGGGAAGAGCTGCACAAACTGTTGCCTTCGGCGCACCCTCAAGTGGATTCGATCGCCGACATTGTGCGAGAAGAATTTCGGCAATCGCTTCGAATTCCCCAAACACCGCTGCCCGAGCCAGAAACTATGAGCTACGCCGCTGCAGTGCGCCACAACGCTCCTCCCCGTCCACGCCAAAACGCCGCCCCGTCGCACTTCCATCGCCAGACACCACCGCCGCCACCACCCCCATTGACGACCTACCGTTCACCAGCGGGCCAGCGCAGTGCGCCGAGGAAAACCGACGTTTGGCGCACCCCTGAACACCGCCCACTGTGCTACCACTGCGGCGAGGCCGGGCACACTTACTGCCGTTGCCAGTACCGACAGACGGGACTGCGTGGCTTCGCCGTCGATGCACCACGTCCGCAGCCAGGGGAACGGCCACGTGACATCGCTGACTACCTGACAGGAACTCAATGGACACCACGAAGTCCTTCCCGTTCGCCGTCGCCCAGCCGCCACAGGTCACCGCACCCCCGGCAGTACTCCGGCCCAACGCGGGGCCGGTCTCCTAGCCCGTATCCGGGAAACTAAGGGCAGCAACCGGTGGAGGTGCGTTTGCTGTGCGACGAACTACCGAAGATCCTCCGACGACGACGCCGCCGCGACGGAGCTTTCCGAACACAACGCCAACCAGGCAAAGCCCTGACGGCGAAAGCTCACTTACCGAAGGTGGCCTGACGACGCAACATGGAAGCAGCGGAACAAGCCGACGCAGCCGTGACTCTCACCACGCCCTAACTGTAATGCGAGACGGCGAACTAGCGACCTCGACGTTCTTATCGACGGCCACAGTGTGACCGCTCTCGTCGATACTGGAGCTGACTATTCTGTCATCAGTGGGTCGTTCGCCGCGAAGTTAAAGAAAGTTAGGACAGCTTGGAAAGGCCCTGAAATCCGCACAGCTGGAGGTCATCTCGTAACGCCTGCAGGAATCTGCACAGCGAGAGTCACCATTAACGGCCGTATTTATCCTACAGACTTCGTAGTCCTACAGCGTTGCTTGAGAAATGTCATCCTTGGCATGGACTTCTTATGCCTCCATGGTGCTGTCATCAACCTAAAAACAAAGTCGATAACGTTATTCACAGAAGAAGCACTACCGCCGCGCACCCCGTCAGGACACCATGCCTTGAATGTGCTGGAAGAACAAGTCACCATTCCGCCTCGCTCAAGCGTCATTATTTCAGTCGGCGCTCCTAAATCACCTGACTTGGAAGGCGTCGTTGAAGGCAGTCAGCATCTGTTGGTCACCCGAAGTATTTGCGTCGCAAGAGGAATTGCAGAGCTGCGGGGAGGCAAAGCAACGGTTATGCTCACGAATTTCAGCAATGAGTACAAACATGTGAACAAAGGAACAACGGTCGCATACATCGAAGAAATTGTCGAAGCCACCAGTGCTTTCGCCCTCGCCGATTCTGCGGCACCTGCTCAGAGGAACCAAGCCCCTCCCATAGCTTTCGACGTCAATCCCAGACTTCCGAAGGATAAGCAAGAACAGCTCAAGGCCCTGCTCCTGCAATACGAAGATTGCTTTTCGTCGTCATCGAAAATTTGGCAGACCCCAATCACGAAACATCGCATCATAACCAAAGAAAATGCCAGACCACTCCGTCAGAGTCCGTACAGGGTTTCGACGCGAGAACGTGAGGCCATGAAGAGACAAGTTGATGAAATGCTGCGAAATGACATTATTCAGCCGCCCAAGAGCCCATGGGCATCCCCCGTGGTGTTAGTGAAAAAAAAGGATGGGACCCTACGTTTCTGCCTAGATTATCGCCGCCTGAACAAAATCACAAGAAAGGACGTGTATCCTCTCCCACGAATAGGCAACGCACTTGATCGGCTCCATAACGCCAAGTACTTTTCGTCAATGGACCTCAAGACTGGCTATTGGCAAATCAAAGTTGACGAAAGAGACCGAGAGAAAACGGCGTTTATAACACCGGACGGCCTCTTCGAGTTTAAGGTGATGCCCTTCGGCCTTTGCTCAGCGCCTGCAACTTTTCAACGCGTTATGGATACAGTACTGGCAGGATTGAAGTGGCAGACTTGCCTTGTGTACTTGGACGACGTCGTCGTGTTTTCCTCGAGTTTCGACGAGCATCTTCAGCGCCTTGAAGCTGTACTTCAAGCCATCAAGACGTCCGGACTCACACTGAAGCCAGAAAAGTGCAGATTTGCGTGTGAGGAGCTCTTGTTTCTGGGGCACGTTATCAGCAAGTCTGGAGTTCATTCCGATCCACGGAAAACAGCCGCCATCGCCGACTTCCCGCCGCCCACTGACAAGAAGGCCGTGCGCCGATTTCTGGGCCTGTGCGCCTATTATAGGCGGTTCGTGAAAAACTTCGCCCGCATCGCCGATCCTCTCACTAACCTTACCAAGGCCGACGTGGAATTCAAGTGGGAAACGCCACAGGAACACGCTTTCCAGGAGCTTAAACATCACCTCCAGACGCCTCCGTTACTTGCCCATTTCGACGAATTCGCCGAGACAGAAATACATACTGACGCAAGCAATGTAGGTCTTGGCACGGTTCTTGTGCAGAGGGCTGACGGACTTGAAAGGGTTATTAGTTACGCCAGCCGATCGCTATCCAAAGCAGAAGCAAATTATTCCACAACAGAAAACGAGTGCCTCGCCATCATCTGGGCTACGTCGAAATTTCGCCCCTACCTCTTTGGCAGGCCTTTCAAAGTTGTGAGCGACATCCCGGCTGCGGCGGCTGCATTTCCAATGGAGGCGGAAATGTTGTAGGCCCGTGTGCTCAGATTTGGGTGCACGTTAAAGAACCCCAGGTGGTCGAAATTTCCGGAGCCCTCCACTACGGCGTCTCTCATAATCATATGGTGGTTTTGGGACGTTAAACCCCACATATCAATCAATCAATTGTTATTTCCCAAAACACCACACGATTCTCAGCGCAAACCGCGTCTGCAGTTTTCGAGAAGGTTCCGGACTGTAGTAGATCATTTCGATAAGATCACGCCCACTGTGCGAACGGTACAGATTGTTCTGGAACCTACGCCACCACCAGCGATAACGCTAGAACATTTGATGGCAAGAGTATAAATGCCGACGCGCTTCGCCGCTTGTCAGTTGTTGATTGAAGGCCGACGCTCCGTTCGCCGCTATCAGTCCGAGACTGCTATCTGTGCAAGACTACTGCTGTAATTGGACTTTCCGTTTACCGGGCACAGGTTCGCACAAATAAACAATTAAATCCCAACACGAAGTCTCCTGTCTTCGGCCACATCACGACCCCGTGACAATATCAACACTTATTTTCTCCTCATGAGTCACAATCTCTGCAATACAGCAGGCTATCGGTGTAAACTAGTTGGCATTACATATTGAACTTGCTTACTTGTGCATAGAATGGCTGTGTCAGTTCTTTGTTTTAGCATTTCCTTCTGCTCTGTATACAAGTTCAACCGACAGCCTATCTTTTCAAGGTAACAACACTTACTCATCTGCACATAGCAGCTACACTGTTCTGTCTTCTGTTCAGTGCATGCATATTCATTTATATAAAGTGCTTTTGTGCAGCATCCACCAACATACACTACAAATTCAAGTGTAAGCAGTGTTCCGAACATCAGTGGCCCGTTCACTCTGTTCAGGTTGCGGCAGCTGGACATCGAGTTCATGAAGAGGCTCCACCAGAAGGTCAACATTGTGCCTGTCATCGCCAAGGCCGACACACTGACCCCCACTGAAGTTCGCCAGATGAAAGACCGGGTGAGTTGGTTCGTGCCTCCTCTTTTGTTTTAAGGTTTGCATGTCGTATGAGACTCAGAATTCTCTGCGAAGACACTGCCGGATCTTGCGCGTGTAATTGGTGCTGGGAAAAGCCAAAAGTTCACTTGCTTTTCTTACATAAGCACACCGATTCTAGAGATAGGCAGGTGCATGGGTTGAGTAAGATCAGTGCTCTCCTCATGTTGGGCAACAATGGTTTTACTAACTACCACTCTGGTCAACTGCTTTACCGTCAAGTTTCAAGTTTGGTGTATTTAAGGAGAATTTTCTTTAGCTCTTGAATTATAGTCAACATCCACTATTCTGGGCTGCCTAGGGACCATGTAAACGCCCCAAAAATAGGTAGTCAAACAACTCAAATGCATGCTTTTTACTTCGCCATTACGCGAACAAGTGTGATCACAGTATGCACTAGCAGGTAGGAACAGTGTACAACAAGCCACTGCTGCGTAGTCATGAATGCATTAGTCTCCATGTAGACTGCAGAGTCGAATGATCATATCTATGTTTTAACTGGTGGTACGTTTGAAATGGGCAAGTACTAATGTTGTTTTTCTCATCTGTATGACTGAATAACGCACCCTGTGTCCTGTGACTGTGGAACCTTCTGAGTCTTGGTATGCTTGGGTGTGCAGTAATCCTGCTTTGCAGTAGAACATACTCTTGGAAAGTGCTGCAACTGCAAGTGTAGTGACTTATCACAGCACTGACCTAAGGCTGAAAGATAATTAACATGTTATTGGTTGTGGCTTCAAGTTATGCTACTGCAGGTCTATAATTGGAGCAGAGAGTCCATAGAATTGGATGTTGAGGTGTTACAACCTCCGAAATTGTAGACGATCCTAAGCATTGCCTGTGTGAAGTGTACCGTATTCGCTCGCATAATGAACGCGTCCACATAAAAAACGCATAATAAACGCACCCCCCAACTTCAGTCATCGAAATGATGCATAATAAACGCATCTTGTACATTTATCCAGTGCAGCTCCATAAACCGACACCTGGCGCCTCCTTGCCCATGTGATTGTTTCTGTTTTTTATTATGCCGACCCCCCTCACCACTTCGGCTCATCCCCTCACGCTGCCACTCTCCATTTTTTTTTATCTGTGCGCCGCATGTCCCCTGTCTTTTTCAATTTTTCATGCACCACAGCATTGTTTATGAACGGTGCGAGTGCAGATACATCGAAGCCGACAAGCACACAGCAAGCACAGGTCATGAAACTTCTCGTGCCAACCAACGGTCACTCCCTGCAGATATGAAACTTAAAGACTTAGATGCATGCACGCAATTTTTGAGTGATGGTGACAGGATTTGTTGTCGTGAAGGGCCATTCGTCACCATCGCATTGCAGGTTTTTGGAAAACCAGCAAAAAATGTGTGTCACCAAAAAAGAGTGTTACAATTTTCACAACATAGTAGCACCCTTGATTTTTGCTTTGGCTGCAATTTCCTTTTCATATGCTTGTTATCACGCATACTTCAAGGAACGCAATATATTATAGGTTACCTTTTCTACAGTCACTTGTCATGTGGAGCATAGAGTTTACTATATATACGCTGGAGGGAATTTAGGCGCTAGCGTCTTTGTGAACTGCAATGCACGGCGCTTCAGCAAGCATGGGAATGATGGGTAGTAACGGATTTGTCTAATCTTCGTACTTTACTTCGTTTACATCCTGTATCAACCAGCCTGTGATTGTACGGCCACGGCAGCTGCTCTGGTTCTATGCGTTGGCTGGGGAAACTGGCTGGGGAAAAGCCAGTTACAAACACTGGATCAAAAGTGACGGTGCCCATGCACCCCTGCGACAAATCGTCTATAGCACTAAGCCATCTCTCATAGCCTGAATGTTCGCTTGACATGCTAAATCAGCGATTAGTGCAGACAAGGTCACCACACTTTATCGTAACCACAAAGGTGCTGAGCATGCTAATGTTATCATAGCGTCATGTGCACGCCTGTGCAAATATTCGAATGCTTCAAATATTCAAACGAATAGTACTGTATTCAAATGCACTTAGATTCGACATTGAGTTATTGAACATTTGGAAGTATTTGAAATGAACTAATAAGTGATTATTAATCCGCATATCATTCTTGTAAAGGTTGTTTTGCTGCAGTTGGGGAGTGCTAAACCGCTAAAGCACCCATTCAAGTGTAACTTTCTGTAAAGTTGGTTTCACACCAGAGGCAGCTTGCTAGGCTGCGAAAACATCTATCCAGGGGGAATCCACATTGTTTTGAAGTTTCAGTTAAATAAACATATTAGCCTCACATTCATTCATCATGCCCATTACATCACTTTAAAAGCTTTTTATATTGGCTTATATGCAATAAGTATTGTAAATTTTAAAACGAAACGTATTTTATGGGTTATCACTTGCCCTCGAGCAAAAGTCGGATGCTGCTATTTTTCAAGGTACCCCCCACTTGCTTTGAGTAAAAAAGAATGGCATTAGCATAGGCCTTGTTTCAATATTTAAGATGTATTTTGCTCGTGAGTTCGGTCATGACAAATATCCCCATTTTTCTACATAATATGTGATAGATACTGTTGTAATTCTATTTGAAATTATTCGAACAGGAGTGCAACAGCTGTGCCGATTCCGTCAACGTGATACAACTGTACATTGTTCTGCCGAGCTGTGCCAAAACCATAAATTTTGCTGAAATTGCGCCACGCTGCACCAAAGTTCTACGAGTAGCCTCAATTTTCAGCGAGAAATGGAAGCCAAATGATGGCCACCTTGTGTCATCAATCAATCCAAGCACGTAAACCCTATCCCTAAACCACTGTGTAAGATAATACTTGTTAGTGAAAGACACTTGCGAGATGTGACCGACCAGATAAATTAACAATGCCGCACACGCCTTATCGGTTCACTGACTGCAGCGGATATCTATCGGTGGTAAGCCGTAACCTCAAGACAAAAATGTGTTGCCGTAGCCACCAACGCTTCGCGAGAGATATGAATTTATTAGTGAGAAAACACCGTTACGGCATGCTAGGGAGTAAAGCTTGAAGCGTATGTCGCGTTTTCTGCACACTAAGGAGCTTGACATACTGCGAGTGCCAGCATTGCCAGCCATTACGTCGGTAACAACGTTTAAAAAAACATTTTTCTTCCTTGAAGTTGCGTTGTCCAGCCGATAAATACCCGGCGTCGTCACCCGGCCAATGGGCCCATGCCATTGTGAGCCAGGACGTTGGGCCCATAACCTAACCCCCACCGTGAAAGAAAAAATTGCGCCTACCTGCCCTAAGGGAATTGCAAAGGGAATTCCCTAAGGGAATTGAAAATTTGCGATTGTAAATGCAAATACATTTTTTGTGCCGAGAGCACACAGCATAGTAAATTTATTGGTATAAATTAATGAGGAGACGAGCATTTGTACCGTAACCATTTATTTACACATTCACGAGCCAGCAAACGATTGAGAGTGAGGAGCGCGCTTCACTTTATTCATATATATGTACAAGCTGGTGGACGGGAGAGTGAGGTGCAGGGAGGAGAGCAAATGTGAAGAAGGCACAGAGGGAGCCGCAAAGCACTGCACCTACCCTCTCTTACACTCTCTTCACGCAGGCTGGAGCTCCGTTGAGCTCCTGCGGTGCAAGCGCCCTCACACACCAGAGTGCGCTCCTCCTCTCCACTCACTCTTCGCTACTCTGCCCACAGCTGTTGCTATGGGAGAGAGAGTTAGAGCAAATAGATAACACCTGCCGGCGTGCGGACGCCACCAGACACCTGGCATAGCCCAACTAAGAAATGCATTCTTATTTAAAAAAGGAGAAAGAGGTATGTGTAGTTGTTCGAAATATTTTTGGCCTTGTTCTAAACCATGCAGAACAAGATTTAGGCTTCCTTTGCCGCAGTAGACTAGTGTCCTGCAAAAAAGCGCATTATGATTTGGAAGGGGCTGTTAGTGCTACTCACTGGTCACAGCACATTTTATTCAATTATTCATGCATGTATGCGCTGCATGATTAAGATTGCTAGTATGATCGCTGATATCAAAAAAAGGTTACTGGAAATTGTTTTAAGCACTAAATGACAATTCTGCTGTCCTAAAAAAAATGTGCTTCAGTAATTTCGTTTATTGCCAAACCTACTCCTAAGTTCTATAATTCTCTTGAATGGCTCGGTCGCCAGCTTAACAAAGCCACAGTTGAATTCACAGTTGGTCAAAGGATTTAAAAGCAGTATCAAATGCTAATGCAGGCTTCATCATTGTTTGCTCAGTGGGTGGTTTAAAACACAACTTTCATTGAAAAAGCAGTGCTCATGTTCACGCTGCACGATGTAAGTGAAGTGGAATATGCTTTGTACATATTGTTTTTTTTACAGCCAAAGCTATTATGAGATCACAACTCGGGTGACGTGCAGTTGTCCGCCACCGCCGCTGGTGTCTGTAACCACATTGTGTGAAATTAGAAAAAAAAAACATAGCACCAATCACACAGTGGGGCTCAAAACCGGTGCCAGCCAAGTATTCTACCACTGAGCCACACCGGTGCTTGGAACCTGTTGGAAAACTTGCTTTAGGCAGGTTTGATGTCGCGAAAGCAAGCGCGTTAATACGACTTATAAAGCGTTTTAAAATGGCGAAGGAACAATCACTCGTCGCACAATGCGAATAGCGTAATGAGTGGGTCATCCAATGCTTCAACACATTACAAACGCTTGTTCTTGTTCAGCTATTAACTGTGGCGCACACCCACTTCAGGCATAATTCCTCATTGTCATCAGCCATTGCATGAACAATTGGCACAAAATTTCTTGCCAGTGTTTAGCAGACATCATGCTTCTCAGAAAAATTATGAAAAATAGCATAGCGAATGCCGGCCTACTGCTCAAAAATTATAATTAATAATGCTGTAATGGGGATCTAGCAAATGTGCTTGCAGCAGTTAAACAATGAGTGTTTAGAAAAGACTCTGAAAGGCCACTCTTCTAGCTTTCACTGCGACTATGATGCACCTTGTGATTGTGCTGCTGTACTGTGACTGGCGTTTTTTCTAAATTTAAGCCTTCTTTTTTATACTGCACCAAATTGGGTCTTGCATAATGTAAAATAGATGTCTTTTTAGATGCAAAACAGCTCTTTCACAAGCCGGTGTAACGCTGCCCTTTGTCGACTCCGCTCCGCTCGCCGCTAGTGTTGAAGCGATGCCCAAGTAGCTCACACCCTCCTAGCAGTGTGCAGTGACGTCTCTCTCCCTTGTCTGCCGCACACTCGCCACGTCTCAGGTCTTTCTCGCTTCACCCTCTCCACCACTCGCAGTGCTTGAGCCCACTCCTCATGTGGGCATCATCTAACCCTCGCCACCTCTCTCTATCTGTCAGCGAGAAGCAGTCAGGAGGCGGCGGTTGCGTGCGCTGCGCATGCTTCGAGAATCCACGGTGCTGAAAATGTGGACAACACGCCGCTGCTTTCTACGCGATCGCGCTGACGGGCGGGACGCCATCATGGCATGCTTCCCACTAGTGTGCGCGTACCTTTCCCAGCGATTAGCAAAAGCTGATCGCATTCACGAATGGGGACATCAACACCAATGAGGTGCGAGCCAGGGAAGCTGAACGTAGGCATCGGCAGTGGAAAACCAGTGACACCGACAAGGTGCGAGTCAAGAACACCGATCACGTTCGAGAATACAGACGGCACGCAGGTAACAGCGATGAGGCGCGAGCCAACGAAGCCGAGCGCAAGCGTCTTGAACGGGTCCCGCCTGCCGTGTCTTTGCGTTTTATACAAATGTTTACTCTACACCGAGTAAACGCTACACCGAGTTTTGCTTGAAACCAATCTTCTAGCACCCGCGTCGACACCCGTTTCAACCGGGCCAACGTCGTGCGCACCGCTGCTGCTTCGCATCCCGTCACGGTTCCCTTCGGGGAAATGTTTCATAGTTTTTTTTTTTAATTCAAAGCATTTCTTAGCGAACATCGGCAGCTTTGAGCGTATCTATCTATTTATCTATCTATCCGCTTACGACTTTTAGCTCTCGTGGCCGTTTTGATAATGGTATCGATACCAAACTTGGTATGGCATAACATGACTGTATGGCAAGCATATATGACTAGTCATAACATAAAAATCATGATATGTATGTCATGATTGTCATGATTTACATTTCATGGTCCTGCTGCTCTTGCGGTGGTTTTGTTCACATGACATTTTGCAAAACAGGTATGGTATGACATGATTGCATGGCGAACACAAACGACAGATCCTAACATGAAGATTATGACATTCGTGTCGTGTAACAACATGACTACATGCCACGCTGGATGCGCTCGAGGCAGTTTCGCTAGCATGACATATACCAAATTTAGTATTGCGGTACACGAAAGGATGACGAAGGTATGTGACTGGTGCAAACATGACATCATGAGATGCGTGTCATGTAACAACATGACTACATGCCACGCTCATGATGCAATAGCGGCCGTTTCGCTAGCTTCACACGTACCAAATTCGGTATTACGTCACACCAACGGACGACATAGGTAAATGGCACATCGAAACCTAGTATTCACGACATGCGTCTCATGTAACAACATGACTACATGTCACACTCATGATGCGCTCACGACCGTTTTGCTAGCTTCACATATGCCAAATTTGGCATTACGTGATGTCAATGGATGACGAAGGTATGTGACTGGTGCAAACATGATAGTCATGAGATGCGTGTCATGTTAGAACAGGACTACATGCCACAGTCAAGGCGTCAATACATTTGGACGTGACCCGGCGTTGGTTTCGTTGCGTCATGCTGGTGTAGGCGCGTGCCACGCTGCATTGCTTTGACGAATGCGCGTTTCAGCGTGTCCGGCATCCCTTGCTCACGAAAAGAGGCAGACACAAAGCTGTGTTTGTAACGCATCGGCGCAAAATGCAGCATGTTGCATTTCACACCGGTTGCCGTTGGGCCGCGCTGATAGACGCTTGTCGCGCCTGGTGTCATACTATACAGTGCGCAAATTTTGCTAATGTAGCTTCGCTCTGTAACAGCGTGCACGCGCGTCAATGTTACATTGGAGTATATTGGGCCCTTCATGATGCGTTCGCAGCCGTTTCGCAAGCTCCACATATACCAAATTAGGTGTTACATGACGTCAATGGATGGCAAAGTTGATGTACATATACTAAATTTGGTATCGCGTGACGTGAATAAATGACGAAGGTAAACGACGCATCCAAATGTGATAATCATGACACGGAAGTCATGTATGGCGTAATTAATCTCCACCTCGTAACGTTGTGGTGATTTTAAAGTGACATATCAACCTACCTCATTTGTACTTTGCATATCATCGATTCCCACTGTACGTGGTATCTGCCAATTTTTTTTCTTTTCATAACCTGCTCTAAATTTGAGTTTTAGTGCTTCAAAAGCAACATTTTGCTGCTCCAAAAAGTGCTCCAAATGCTATTTTGGCTGTTGCACCCTTGTTGGAGCCAGGTCACTGTTCACTTCCAATTTGCTTTGAACCTAAAATTCACTATATTCGCACAAGCCTAGTAATGTGAAGCCAGGTTCGTCATCATTTTGCTGTATCTGAACATTTTGCACTCTGTCACAGGTTCTGCGAGAACTTGAAGAGCATCAGGTGACAGTCTACCAGCTGCCGGAATGTGATAGTGACGAGGATGACGATATCAAGCTGCAAGACAGAGAGCTCAAGGTTTGTGCTTCTGATGCTTTTCTAGAACAATTTGTACCCTTGCAAACATGCACAGTGAACTCAACCAGTGTCCGTGGCACGAGGTAATTCATCTGTCAAAAACTTTTGCATTTACACTGAACTTACGGCGGAACTTGTCACGATGTCTGAAAGAAAACATCATAATTCTTAGAAGCTACATTATTTTCTCTGTCTTTGTTGTTTTACCAATGAAGTGTACATCCTCCTCCTCTCTGGCTACAACACTGATATAAAAATATTGCATATTTACCAAAACAACATTTCTTCCAAGGCTGCAAATGGGAAAATTACAATTGACAGTTGTTAGGAACAGAATTAATGAGAACCAACAGACAATTATGCCAAGGAAAATATAGGGAATATTATTATAAGTAACTGTAATGTAAATGTGAAGAAAGAAAAGTGGATGAACAGATAACTTGCCGTGGGCAGGCGCCGAACCTGCGACTTTCAAATAACGTACGTGTCCGATGCTCTACTAACTGAGCTACTATAGGGGCTATCCCCCCACCTATTTTATTGGCTATGTATGTGTCTTAAACATGGGAGTGTCAGTCAGAGCCACCCATTACCATTACAGCGAGTGTGGGACGCTGATTTTTTGCCCGGCATCATGTAGCACGGGATACCAATAGGCAAAAGTGGGACGCCTTGGCAACCTGTGGTGCCAAGATGACAAATGTGGGGGAAAAAAGAAAGTTGTAGTGGAGAGCTACCGACTATCTTTTCAGAACTCCTCAAAGTGGACTTCTCTGCAAAACTGTGCAGCACAGAAGCCATGTCGAATGTCAGCTGAGTTCTGCACACACTCAATGCACAGGTGCATGTAAGATGTTATCAATAGTGGAGACCATGAAGCAGCACACGAGTGACGTACATGTCAGGCATGCCCCTGTTATTTAGTTAGAATTTTAGATGTGATTCATCCCATCCAATGCAATCAACGCAAGGCGTTTTGTTGACTCAGGATGAACTCGCATCTTCCATTATCTGTGGCCGCTACTGACAAGGCGGGATGCTCTAGTTACGCCTAGCCCTATGCTTGGTAAATTGGCAGACTGTTGCCGGTAGCCTGCTTTTAGTCAACATGGATTTCGGGCATCAAAGTGACTGCACTCACAAGCCAAACCACGAGCAGCGTGCGTGAAACGTGTTTAGGGTTGTGCTCAAAGGATTGGCCGCTGCAATTATTTTGCCAAGGCCATAAGCCAAGCTGTTGGTGGCAAAACCACAAAAGGTCACGTCATAAATCCTTTTAATTTGTAGAACAACACCTATACTGATTGCGATATTGAGGTTACATGCATGGTGTCTGCACTCTACGATGACTTGCTATTTTGACCACAACTGACTGAGTGTAACAGTGGCCAGCACATTGTATGCGAATGCCCATTCACTGCAGAGCGTGCATACAACAAGCAGCCGTAGCAAAAGGGGCATGGCTTCTCCGTCACCAAGGCAGCCAGTCCGCTCCTCATACTGTGCACGCAAGTTGCACCTTCGCCACTTCAGCCTTTTAACCCCACCCCCCCCTCCTCCTCTTTTTTTTTTTTAATCTGCACCACTTGTCCCTCATGTCATTTAGATGCTCTCCTGCTGCGTAGTTTTCTTATTCTCTCCACATTCCCAGGCATTCAATGTGCTTTAAAGATAACATGACTGTTGTGTCATTTTTGCAACCTTTGCACCGCTTTGTCTTGTGCAGGAGAGCATCCCGTTCGCTGTAATTTCGAGTACCCAGGTGGTGGACATCAACGGTCGGCGAGTCCGCGGTCGACTCTACCCCTGGGGGATCGTCGAAGGTGATCACAGCCGCTGCATGTGGGCTGCACTGCACCCGTCTCTTTCTTTGCACTCTTTTTTTTTTTTTGCATCGTGTTTTTTGTTACTATCTTCAACTACTGCATGGCATGTGCGTAACAATGTGCTACTGATTCCCTTGCAGTGGAGAACCCGAAGCATAGCGACTTCCTCAAGTTGCGGACCTTCCTTATTAGGTTGGTGAATCTACTCTAACTCCATGTGCTTGCACTTTTGTCGTGTCGTGCCACAGCAGGGCCTGGCTGTGGGCTGGCTGCATCAGCAGAGCTCATTGTGGCAGTTTGGGTCGAGGTGTCAAAACCTGCATTGTGATTAGCCCCTTGACACTCGCCTTCAAGCTGTAAAGTAATAAGAACAGCATAATCAACTCATCTGTGAGGCTATGCAGCCATATGGGCTTATGGAACAAAACCGTTCCACCTTAGAGAAAAAGAATTGCTCTGAAAGTTGCTCAATTAGCGGTGGTGCTTGCATTTAAAATGGGGAAACCATAATGCCAGATGCGGCGCGTTCTGTTCTCATCGATGCAAAAGTCGGCGGTTACCCGAGAATCGCAGCAAAAAGTGCGTTCTTATAACTCGACGTCAGTGTTGGTTTCCCTATATGAAGTCACTGAACATTGTGGTGTAGGGTTACCTGCAGAGCCTGCACTGGAGGCAGACATCAGCATCCGTATCACGTGCTAGTTCGTGTAAGCGCTGTGGGGCTCCAATCATGCCAATATACTCATTGGTGGTACAGGAAGTGCATAGGTAATAACATTGTGCTTTGCATAGGCAATAACATTGCACTTTGCATAGGTAATAATATTGCACCAGATGCACACAGTTGCCATCTTTTCTTCACATGACAGTGTTTCTTGGGTAGGTTGCTAAAAGTGCACATGCGGATGGTATCTGCCGAAGGCATCTACAATAGCCACGTTTGAAAGTCATGGGACCTTTGCCGCTAGAATGGATTCTGGCATGACACCGACAGCTGCCGCAGCAGCTGCGTAGATGGAGAGGGGGATCCTTGCAGCAGAAGGAAAATTCCTAACTCGAAGGGGTGAAACGAGCACACAGGACTATTGTCAGTGCAATGCTTAGGCACGCCGTGTCAAACATGTGGCCACCGACGTAGGATCTACAAAGAAAGCATGCCATATCAGTTGACCTTCCACGCAACTCAGCAGTCCCGCCTCGCAGCACTAGTCAGTAACAACAGCCCAGCCAAAAGAAATGCTTTCATGATTGCATCTCAAACGAATGCACTTAGTACCCTCTGCAACTTTTTTTTTTCATTACCTGCATTGTCATATAGTAAACTCGCTTTTGTGGGCCCTGATGCACAGGTGTCCTTGTCACCTTAACTTAAGAAAAAGAATGAGGTTTAGTTGGTGCAGCCATGCCGTAAAGACAGCACAGCCATGCCAGACTGTGGAAGGATGTTGTGGCTGTCCGCTGCCCAGTGTGGACTGACCCGAGCTTCTCTTTTTTGTTTCTCTCTTTGCCTCATGCTGCCTGTTGGTCGGCAACGGCAGAATAATCCTTGGTCTCTTCAGGTAGATGGCCTTGTGTCTCTACAAGCCCTCCTCCTGAGAACCTGCTTACTCGTGCATATACCATATTTATTTGAATCTCCGCTTGCCAGTTTTGGGCTGGCTGGTGCTCGCCACCTAACCACCATCACTACTACTTTGTGCTTGAAAAATGGCATGAAGGAAAGCCTTGTCCTAAGACTAACAGCCTCACTCTAAGTTGAGGCCAAGCCTTGTAAGAAGTGTGTGCAGACATGAATTTAGATTCCCACTTTCTTCTGGTCTCTTGGTCCAGTTTGCTGGAATGACAAAGTTCTATGTTGGCTTGCATTGGTTATTTGTGTGGTAGTGCAAATTGACTCTTCATTATTTACCTCTAGTCTAATTGTAAATAGATCACTTGAAAGGCACTAGTTCATCAGCTTAGCTGTTCTGCCATAAGACAAGAGTTTGCGACTCCAGCTTTTGGCCTATAGCTCAACGTTTCAAATATACACAAGTGCTTGTGTACCCTGTCTCATGTGCTTTTATATAACTTAGCTTTCAGTTGACCGTTTTAGGCAGTTGCAGTTGCAGTTTCTTCAATCTCTCCCCACTGTGGTATTTTCCTAGCTAGAGTGCTTATGTGGACTGTCCAACCCCACGAGCTTGTCCCCTGATCTTGAAAATAGTACGGTGCCCCATTATAGCTGTCCTTTTGTCATCACACAAGGACCACTTGTACACTCAAACCTTGTTATAACAAAGTTAAAGGGGAGCCACAATTATTTCGTTATATCCATTATTTTGTTATATATCGATTATAACAGTTTGTGGCAATGTATGCTCAGATGGGTGCATACCTATAAGCATGCAAAGATGGAAACCGCCTCGTGGCCCAATGCACCTTTACGCGACCACGCGTGCGACAGAAAATAAACACAGTCGAATCTCATTAATTCAAACACGTCTTATTCTAACTTCAGGTTAATTAGAACTCACGCTGTGGTCCCATCAAAGCTATGTTTATTCCATTGGGCGAAAACGCTCTGTAATTCGAACGCGCAAGCACTTTCGACGGTTAACTTGAACATACCGCGCTCCAAAAGTGCTCTCAGCACTATGACCAACACCGCGGCGGCACCTCTCAATGCTGCGTCCGGAGAAGGAAAAAAAAAAGAAAAGGAAAGAAAAGACTGTGGCTGATTGTTTGCTGTCTCTCAAATGCCGATTTGCGACGCGCCTGTGCCACGCTTCTCTCTGTTCCGTCTCTGCACGTAGAGACCCTTCTCTTTTCAAGGCCGCACGCGGAGAGAGAGGGAAAAAAAAAAAGAAAGCTGCCGCGGAGTCCTCCTTTCTCGGTGCAGAGAGTAGAAGCGGAGACGCAGTTGTTGCCGTCGTCTTTAGAGAGTGTTGGCGCTGGACTTAGCCGCGCGCTACTATGCTTTGCTAACTACGTGTGAAATTGATTGGCTTGCTGCAAGGCAAACGTGTGCAGACACGCGTCACCGATTACTTCAATTAATGATGGATGTCCTCTGATTCGCGAATAAATGCAAGTATTGTGAAGCTTGCCCATCGTGTGTTAGTGAGAGGGAAATCGCTTTGCACCGCTGCGCCGCTTCTTCATCGTGTGACCCACTGAGCGCTTCCTCAATCCTCTCCGCTGGCTGTGGGAGGAGGAGGGCTCTCTCGGCCGCCGTGGCATGGCTGTAAGGTCGACACGGGAGTTTTGAAAGGGCCGCACCAAACGAGCGTGAAACTCCGCAAAAAACGATATACTTAACACACTACGGTTGGTTTTTTTTTTATATACTATTTGATAGACTGATTTAGTTTGTTTTATCGATTTACCCACCAATTTTTTTTATTGTAACGAGGTTTAAAATGCACTGTTCTCAATGGGACTTTCAAGGGGAATTTCATTTACTTCGTTATATCCAGTTACGTTATAATGAGGTTTGAGTGTAATTCAAAGGCTGCTGTTCATTTATGTCGGCCAGCATGAAAGATGAGCACAATCCAAATAAATGAAGTGTGCCATCATTAATGGATGAGCAGTACTCAGTTAAATGACCAAGTAGACCTGGCACTATCAGCTACATACTGAGGAAGGAATAGCCTCTCTATGAAAAGAGAGCACTCGAGCATGTGGCAGCCTTGTGCTCTAGTTATAAAAATTTATATGTCATGCACAACTACAAATTTTGGTCGAGCTGTTCATAGACAGCAGCATTTGCTGTTCACACGTGTCTTTTTTTACCAAGCCGAAGGTGTGTTTCAGGACTCCTCCGTACATCTCTTGCTGCTTGTACATTGATGAAGTAAACGTTGCCCCACGTGATTTTAAGTCCAAAATACGGTACAAGTTCTCTCCTCAAAATTTTAATTATTTGTTCTTGTAAGAGATGATGGAATATCTGGTCTCTCATGCGACCGCTAGACGAACCCCAAAACACCAATAAAGGAACCCAATTGAAGAACTGCTGCCTGAAGAAACCTTTCTTTTCGCACTTTCGTGCTTGCGCTGCAAACTCTTTTAGTATGCACTTTAACCAAATAGCCAATCTTTTCTAAGCATGTAGGTTTAGTTTGACAAATACTGCTCTGCACTTTCAACAAAGCAACACGCTCATGGAAATAGCTCAGGCACACTTCTTTCTAAAGTGTGCCTTTCAGAAGTGGTAGCTTTGACGTTTTGTACCCTGACGTACTCCTTTTTTGAAAGTGTGTCTCTCGGGGAGTATTGTTTTCTGTATTAGTTTGCTTGCTGTGAAAGTCCACGCCTTTGCCATACTTTATACATGGTATAACATGCTTTCATCCCTAAAGAGCTTGCCCTCTACTGTCGCTTTTTATAACACTCTTTTCTATAACTTTCTTTTCGCGAGCCTGGCCAATTCAAATAAATATGGTACTTAGATGAACCCACTGTTGTAGATGCCAGGCATCAGATGTCTGGTCGCTTTTCTTGGAACTTCTTTCTCTGTGCATAAGTGCAGTGCTCTGCATGCAGCATTTGTGAAAAGCTCTCCTCTGGTCCCCTCCGTGTTTTCTTTTTTTTTTTTCGCCTCAGCACGCACATGCAAGACCTGAAGGAAGTGACCCGCGATGTACACTACGAGAACTATCGTGCCCAGTACATCCAGAAGATTTCTCAACAAGCGGCCCGCGAAAGGGGGTCAGTATGTGCATCACCACATTGATCATTTCTTTTACTTGTTTTGTGCTTCCCATTGATGGAATAAATCCTGCATGCCACGTCAGAGCACACGTTGAAGGGTATTCCTATACATAACACGTAAAGCTTCTTTTTTTTTTTCAGTAAATCTTTGCGAGAATGGCCAGGGGACTGCCCCTTCACGTGGTCTTGAACTGTTGAAACTTCCTGTTTTGATGCTAAGCTCATTTTTGCCATGAGAGTAAACTTCACCTATGGTTCCGTGCACTCAAGTTTATTGTAGTGGTCTCTTTCATGTTACAATAACTTTTTGAGTGTTTTTGCCCTACATGTATGGTGGTGGTTTTCTGTCCTGTAGTGTCTTTTGTATGGGTATGTTTTCGGTCCTTGGCTTAAAATTTTGCTCCGTAGTAATGATGCATGCTCACTGGCAGGTGCTACCTCCTTCTTAGACTTAGAAGAAGCATTGAAAATTAATGTTTAACCTCTTTGCGGTGATAAACAGAACTGATTTTCACAGGGGTGCAACAGCTGCATCAAAACCATGAAATTTGCTGAAATAGCGCCACGCTGTGCCAAAAGGTCCGTCCTGCCTCTATATTTAATCGGTTGCGCTACTTGAGCGAGAAATGCAGGTTGGTCGCCCACAATATTGCGTCATCACTCAATCCAAGCACGCAAACCCTAACCCCAAAGGACGTTGTGATATATACTCATTAGATCAGAACACTATAGAGATGTGATCAACCTATTATGCCACGCATTCGTCTGTCCACTGACCGCAGCGGATACCAATCGGCGGGACGACGGCAAAAATACATTGACAACGCTTCGCGAGAAACATAAATTCTTTAGTCAGCAAACACGACTATGGCATATTAAAAAGTGAAATAGTGTGCCGCGTTTTCTGCACGCAAACAAATTCGACGTGCTGCGAAGGCCGACGTTGTCTTCTATCACATTGGTTGCCATAAAAACAGCACATAAAACATCTTTCTGTTTCGAAGTCGCATCGTCCTGCGATATAGATAACCGGCGTTGGGCCATCGAACGTGCGTCGTTACCTGGTCGAACAGGCCTTGCAGGCGAGCTGAAAAGTGCCCGAAACCTAACTCTATCGTGAACCAAAAGAAAGAAGAAAGGGGGGTGTAGCGGTTTGAAAATTTCTTGGCCTTGTTTTAACCCATGCAAGACCCTCCTTAAGCCACCTTTGCCGCATTACACTCGTGTCTTGTAGAAAAGCGTCTTTAGATTTGAAAGGGGCTGTTAGCAGTATATTCATGGGGCATATTTTTTTTTTGTTTCCCATGCATAATGGTGCATAATTGTGAGTACTAGTATGATCACTGACATCTAAAAAGGTTACAGTGGCTTACTGGTAATTATTTACAGCAGTGTATGATATTTGCACGGACCTTAAAAAAAAACTGCAATTTTTGTTTGTTTTTGTTTGCCGCTCCTACACCTCAGTTTTACAAATCTTTTAAATTTTAGGCTCGCCAGCATGGCAGATGCACATTTCAATTTGCAAAGTCTGTCTAAGGATTTGACAGGTGCAGGAAATGATGATGTGGACTTCATCATTTGTTGCATAGTTGGGTAGTTCAGAATACTGCTTTCATTGAAAGGGCTCAATTTCACTTGGCACAATTTAGGTGATGCTGAAGGGTTTGTACATGTTTTTGTTTTGTTTTTTCTAAATTTAATCTTTTGTGATAAAGTTTTTTTTTTTTCTAATCTGCTCGAAATTCAAATTTTTTGTGCTCCAAAAGTAACAGTTTTCTGCTTCAAAAGTTGCTCCTAACTCTACTTCGGCTGTTGCATCCCTGTTTCTAGTGTTAGTGCATCTTGTAGTCTGTGGCAACACCGATGGGTGACATTATTTCATGGTTTTCATTTCACTGTGTGATCAGAACAGAGGTGCACAAAACTTGATTTTTATCTTTTATTGGCATTGCTTTTAGCTTGTTCATCAATGGTACTCACGTGGTATTCTCATTCTCCTTAATTACTGAGTTTACCCAGCCCAAGGCAGCCCACACAGAGAAGATATCTTGTGGTTGCCAGCACAACTTGTCACAAAGCAGATGGCCACGCGTGTTATGTATGAAGGCAGCAATAAGGCACTGTGTGTAGACCTATGTTTCAAGGAATACCACACTTAAAAATACCATTGAATGTTTTGCAGTTCTGAGTAATGCTGGCACCAGAACAGTTTTCCTAATTTTTTTTTCACAATTTTCTATGACTTTGTAGATTTCGTACATTCAAAAAACAGAATAAAGTATTTGGACTATATGAGAAAGCTTTTCTAAAGAAAAATTCGACACTCAACAGATTAAACACAGAATTTCATAGAAAACACACAGTTTTGTGAAAACTATTTGGACAGCAAACCTGTTGGGCACGCCCCGCCGCGGTGGTCTAGTGGCTAAGGTACTCGGCTGCTGACCCGCAGGGCGCGGGTTCGAATCCCGGCTGCGGCGGCTGCATTTCCGATGGAGGCGGAAATGTTGTAGGCCCGTGTGCTCAGATTTGGGTGCACGTTAAAGAACCCCAGGTGGTCTAAATTTCCGGAGCCCTCCACTACGGCGTCTCTCATAATCATATAGTGGTTTTGGGACGTTAAACCCCACATATCAATCAAACCTGTTGGGCACTCATCAAAACTTTTTTGAGCTCTTTCTTGGCTTAGGGAAAACACCATATGGACTAACTTTCAAAACACCCTTAGACTTGAGCATCAAATTTTTAACAATGGGTTCTATTTAAAGCATGACATCTTTTTTTGCCAAACATTACTTTTTTCATCTTTCTTATCAAACAAGAGCCTATGGAATGCATTCCTAACTTTTGGTTTCTGCACCACATCACATTTTTAAACCATCTTAGGATATGAATTTGCTAGAAATGACCAGAACCAGTGGAGCGCCCTCTTTGGATGAACATTTAAAACTAAATGGTTAAATATACTGTTATCTTCTGCAAGACATCTGACAGTGCTTTTGGAGAAGGTTTTTTGTCACAAAATAGGTACATTTGAATTCCCCCAACAACGTTGAGGAAGGAATCCTGAACATTGCTGTTATTCTTCAATGCTCAAGCCTGCCACGAGCTGATGTGGGATTTTGTTAGAGTAATAGACTGCGTGTGTCAGAAAGCCTCTATTTTTTGTCGAACAATATTTTTTTTGTCCTTTCTAAAATTCGTATAACTGCTTTTATTACTTACCCTGATAAATTTGTGTCTAACAATTCCATAGGCACTACAGAATTGCTAGGCCCAGGGATGAATGAATTAGCTTCATTTAAAACTGGTCTCGGGGTTGGCCTCTTTTTCTATCTTTTGGGAGCTCTGCTACGAAGATGTATATCTAAATGTTGCATGACATCCTTTATAGAACGAAAGATATGCAGCCAGCATTTCTAGTGGCCCTCACTGTTTTGGAAATTCGTGCTGCAGTTTTATTGGTTGCCCGGTCACTGTTACCAAATCAAGGTTGCTGGCATCCCATGACTTCAGGCGCACAGGCCATTCGCTACTTAGTTCATAGTCCCCTTAAGATCATAGTTAATTTTAACGAAATTCGTTGCTGGGCTAGTTGGTTTATAAACTTGAATAGTGGATAGTGTAAACTTGACACAGGCCTGAAAAAGAACTTGGCGCTTGTCCTGTGCGTCAGTGTCCCCTGACCTGTGTCTAATCCGTGCCATCCAGTATTTAAGACCATATTGAAGATTTTATGAGCTGCAGTGAAAGAGCGGCCCTGAAAGTATTAGGGCAGTATTTCGTGTTCTAATTCAGCACAGCTGAACTTCATTATAACAAAGTCATGCTTCTCACTGAAATGGCTTCAGTATGTCTAAAACTTAGTTACAAACATACACTCATAACATGGTGTTAATCTTAGAAGTATTCAACATTTATTTCATCATAACTAGTACTTCATTATATCCATATTCATTGTGTCGAGGCTGTACCGTAGATGTGCCCAACGAGGACAAATTATGCCAATTTGTTGCTTTGTACTAATAGGTTCAATGGCACATACACATACTAGAAGCTCAGTGGTTCACATTAAACTCCTGGTTGTTGCACTGTTTTCTCAAATTTTTCTTTGTGCCTATTGTTTTTTTGACTCGCGTATGTGATGCGTGCAGGAAGCAAGGCAGAGATTCGGTGCCAACCACATACGACGGAATATCTGAAGCTGATCGCCTGCTCCAGATGAAAGACGAAGAGGTGAGAATTGAAGCCTGCCATGTGTTTGCCACTTGTTCTGCGTCCCCGTGGTCACCTGCCTTGATTTCACTACCTTTGATTTCGCAAGTGTGTGAAGAAAAGCACATATTTGGTATAGTGGGACCTTTGATAAGGCAAAAAATGAAAAAGAGATAGGAGTTAAATGAACATGAACGTTTGAAACGATGAAAAGTCATTGAGAAAAAAAAGGGAAGGTATGTCATTGTGGAGCCCATAAAGACACAAGTTCAGCTAGAAAGCCACTTCTGGGAAAGCCATTACAACCAGTGGCCATTGTTGATTAGTTCATTGTGACACATGGGTCTGGGTGTAGAAAGTATGATACTGGCATGTCATATCGCTTCTGCCCACTGTGGATACGAGTCATATGCCTTTGGTGCTTTAGGAAAGCGTTCATACAGAACGTCGAGCCTTTTTCTTCCATAATAGATTGCTTGCCTATGCAGGGAAATTTAGCAACTGTAGATGGTACAAGCTGGAACACTTGAATCACCATCTAGCCTTAGTAATCTTTCAAACACTCTCAGCAGAAATTGTTTCTAACACACTCTGCCTCTTCTTCAATACTCTTGGGCGGCGCAGTTTTTTTGGTTTTTTTTTTATGAAGTAGGCATGGATTTATGAGGTCCAAGCATTGATATAAATGCTTCAACTACTGTTTTGTGTTGATGTATTTGTCACTGAAATCTATCATAAGCCATCTTAATTTTAATTGCTGCCTTTTGCTTTCTCAAGGTGGTAGCCACAGTTGCCATATGGGTTATCAGTTCTGCAAGGGGAACGTATATTCTGGCACAACAGAAAAGCATTTCGATTGGAAAGCAGTGCTGCATAATGTTTCTGAAACTTGGCTCCTCCCGATGAGGCTCATCTGGGAGCTTGCACGCCTGCATTCATTCGGGCCCATATGTTACAGCAGTCTATGCTGCAGACTGCCGTGAGGTGCGAGTCGAGTCACCTTTCAGATCGAAAGGTCACACTTACACTACGAAAACGTGCCATCGTAACATTGCAGAAGAACGGATGGGTTGGCGAATTGGGTTGGGTTTGTATTGATGTACTATGGCGGAGCAGTAATAAATACAAAGGACAAAATGTAGACAGGGCACGCTCTGTACTCACAACTAAAATTTTTATTGGAATCCCCATTTTGTCGATACCACTGTCCTTTCAAGACATCAGGATTGAACCATTTTGCATCACCATAGTAAAAGATAAATGCGTCAGCCAATTCAGTGAGCCCATCGAGAAAAAAGAATTCGAGTACCTCATAAACACATGTGTTATAGTGCCATTTCATAATGTGTTTATTGCTGTGTATGTTTATCACCAGGGCACGGCCTTTCACTGTTATTATCTTGATGTAGTTTGCTTTGCACCCTTTGTGACAATTTTCTTTTTGCATGACGATGTTGGTTTAGTTGTGAATAGAGCGCATGTCCTGTCTTCATCTTGTTCTTTGTATTCATTACAGCGCTGCCATAATGCATCTGTTTGCCATCATAAATGAAGCACGCTTTCTCTCTATATAGATGCCTACGATGGTGCATAAAGCCAACACATTTTGCCCTGAGAAAGCGAATGACTGCAAAGTGCTTTTTACAATTTGACCTTTGTACAATATTAATGAGAACCACCAGACAACAGTGTGTTAGTTCTCACTATTATTGTGTCTAATGAGGAAAAACGAGCCCTGAAAGTGCCATTTTTTTTTTTACGATATTATTCATGTACAATTTAGCTGTATCTTGGATGAAACAGTTCTAGCAGCGCTCTGTTCTCTTTTCTTCTATCCGCTCCTGTCGCGCTGTTAAGCACTTTCTTCGACTACCATGCAGCACCAAACAGCCCAATCAAGCACCTTGTTAAAGTTCATTTCTAGCAGTGAGGTGTCAACAACCGATTTGTCTGTTGTTACTGCTTTGTCCAAATTATGCAAAGCCTTCTTACAAAGCTGCATGGTTTAGAATATAAGGTAACATACAGGTTATGAGTAGAGACCAAATTGCAGGAAAATGCCTCTTTTTTTGTTTCTTTCACTGCTACCACCTCACTTTGATAAGTGAGCATGAATTAAACATTAAGAAGCGCTTTTATAGCGTAACAGGAGGAATAAAGGGGTGTAAAGTGAAGGGCAGATACGACATGCAGGCTATGCAATTCAGTGCATGCTACCTTGCAAAGCTTGCAAAGAGATGCCTGTTAGAATCTGTGCACCGATCAAGTCTCGTGGCGACACTGAATTCCTGCAGATGCGAGCAGCAGCATCGGTGGCACTGCCTACATAGGTTAATCACAATCAGTGTGATTTTTTAAAGGGGAGATGCGGGTCGAAAAACGCAAGTTTCTTTTTTCAAAATTATCGATTTTTAATTTTTGCCTGTTTTGATAAGATTAGTAACTCTACTGTTATGAAAAAAATAATACAGGTCGAGGCTTGACTGGAAATGCTTTAAAATTTTATCTAAAGAGCACAAGGTGCCTGTTAAAAGGTCGAATGTGTGCAGTCTACGAGCACCTTGCCGCCGATAATGTGCCGCGACTAGCCATTCTTGATTGCATGAGTCGAAGAGTCGAGCCTCACTTTCCAAATAACAGTTGCTCTCGCTAATGCACTGCAAGTAATAATAAAAAACTCACTCTTCTGCGCGTTTTTCGAGCACCGCGACTGGCTTATCACATGGTATGAATCGGGGATCGCCATTGGCCGCTGCGCGCCTGTATGTGCTGTGAAAACTACTTGCGGGGTCCATGTCTTGTCGAGCAGTGCAGCTGAACAATGCTTTTCTCGTGTAATTATCTCCGTTATGAATGAAAAAAGGCATTGCTCTCAAGTGAAAGCTGTTGTGCGGCGCGCTCTGTAGGAATAGGCTACGAGCAGCTGGTCCAATTTCCGGCAGTTGTTGGCTTGCGAAAGCCAATGCATCAAAGTTATTCACACCCGTCAGCCGGAAAGTTCGTGATGCGGCAATGGATGATGTTAGCACCAATCTTGAGAGGTCGAAAGAGCTCGCAGTGAGAGAACTTAGCAGGGACGACATTGCCATTATGTACGATGGTATGTGGCACAAACATGGCTGCAAAATGGCATGACACTAGACTTAGTTTGGATTTCGCAGTTCTGTCAAACTTCTTCCTAGCTTGCAGTTGGCACAAGGCTCTGCCAGATGGAGCGGAAGTTTGGCAAGCGTTTCATGGCCCTGTCTGTGAGCGAAATGTCTCTGAGGAGTCGGCTCGAAAACGCCAAGAGGGACAAACTCATGGTGCTGGCGTATTTTAGTCGCAGTGGCCACTACAAGAAGGATTTTTCTTTTTGATGTGCAAATTTCATCTGATTTAATAATATCTTTCATAAATAAAAACTCAATTTTAACTTTAAAACTCATTTTTCTCAAAACACAAATTTCGCCGTTTTTTCCAATGTGCCTCTTCTTTTTCGGGCACTTCTAGTGCTCGGATCTGCATGAAATTTTGCCCAAATTTTTTCCAAAGTGTGACAAATGCAATTGTCTAACTTAAACTTCAATACTTTATTTTATCATAAAAATTGTAAGTATTCCTTTTCTAGGGTAAGTGAAATCTGGACTTTTTACGTCTATTATTTTTTAGGCATATTACATATTTTGTATGTGCTTCCTAATTGGTTATTTGCACTCCACACTTTATTTGAAGCATTATGAACTATGACTGGTAAAAATATTACAGAATTTTAGAGATGAAAAGGGGGGGGGGGGGGGGGGCAAAAGGGTTAAGGTTTTCACTTTGTCATGTTGCAGAGCTAAAGGTGTGTAACTTGCAAGAAAACTGATTATATATTTGAAATCGGCATAAAAAGTTCCATGAACAGCTCAAGTTTCAATGCTCTAGGGTGAATATTAAAGAAAAAGTGTCTTCGAGTAGCATCTCCTTAATCATTGCTTTCCTCAATCTGTAACGCCGACAAACTGATGGTAATCAATCATGCTCTCTCCGGCATGTGTGACATTGACCGTCTGTTTTCAAATGTGCATATCACAATATTGTCCTGCATGTCTAGCTTATGCAGCCAGCGAGTAACTAAATTGCACGGAGTAATAAGAACTGAGGTTGAAGAGCACTTTTGGGTGCACTGGACCTTTAGAAACCCCAGCACAGTGCCGATGTCAATGACAAAACAAGCTCACATTGGCACTTTCTATTTCGTCGTTCAGGTAACTGATAAACTCAAATAAAGTGAGTGTTACCTTATCGCCAGCATTGTCAGGGCTCCCTCATTGCCTGAACAACACACGAAGCATTGGGAAGTCATTGCAAAATGAAGATAAAATAACCAGTAGCTGAAAAGTCTGTGACTGCTTTCGTTGTCGTGTCCAACAAGGCATGGTGGAGCGAGCTTACGGGCTTGTCCACAGACAGCGCTGCACATGTTGAATAACCCTTATTTATGTCATATGAACTCCTTATCGCTGTCACGTTATAATGGAGGGGCAGTATTCTACAAACTATGGCATAAAAACTAGATTTGCTGCCATTGTATGTTTAACTGTTAATGGCTTTTTCCCACCATAAACAATAACATTTGATGCTTTCCTGTTGTAGATGCAAGTCGAGAACGTCCTTGAGTTGAAATTATTTGCATTTATGTAAAAATTCATTGTGCCTGTATTTAGGTATTTAAGGGCTAAAACATGTTTTTGACTACCTACTCATGATGCGTAAAGCACACTTTCTTAATGCCTACAAATCGGACCTCTAGTAATGAGAGATGTTAAAACATGTTTTTGACTACCTACTCATGATGCGTAAAGCACACTTTCTTAATGCCTACAAATCGGACCTCTAGTAATGAGAGATGTTGTGCTTTAAAAAACCAGACAGGCTTCCTGCATTCATAAAGCACTGTAGATGTGTGTTTGTGTTCAGCCTTCATTAAATTGTAGCATTCATTATGAAAAATAAAACCCATCACTTTTCAGCCAGCACTGCAGCAGCAGAGACGCCATAACGAATGACATTATTTCATCTCCACATGCAGCTGAGGAACGCATACTTTTTTCTTTTCCACACAGATCCGGCGCATGCAAGAGATGCTGTCACAGATGCAGGAGAAGCTGCGCCAGACCAGCAGAGACACCACACCCGAAGCGTCGACTCCAGACTTGGACGCTCGGAGGGACGGCGACAGCGTCGTGAACCTGTGAGGAGCAGCAGTGGAGTGATGGGAAGGGTGCCGCCAACTCGCCAATGTCTCCCCTTTTCCAGCTGTATGCACATACCAACTGGTGCTGCACAACACAGGTTGTGCAGTGGGGGTCCGGTCATTTAGGCTTAGGCTTGTGAGGACACTCCTTCCCCATGATGTCCGAGCATTGCTCCTTCAGTGTTCTTTGGGGTGCCAATGTTTTCTTGCAGATTGCCAGGACTAGGTTTCTTTCATTAATTAGGTAACATTCGATGTTTTACTTTGTCACGAGGCACTCGTCTTTGCTCTATCACATGCAGTAAGACCATTTTGTTGACCTTGGAGGTCTTTCCTTGAGTCGTGTGACCTTCTTTTCCGAAGGTCGTCCCATGACTGGTTATACTCTTCAATGCGAGTGAACCCAGAAGGTTGGAGTTCGCAAGCTTGGACGTCTACCGTTTTGCTCCATGCACATATGCTTGCTACATCGTCAATTTGATCCTCCTGCTGGTGAGACTGTGCTGTGCATTTGTGGCAGGAAATTTAATGTACCACCTGAAATTATTTGAAATGCGCACTCCTTTCTAATTCATCATCTTTTTTTTTTCTAAATGCAGTGCGTTTACATTATTTTGGAGCTTACGTATTGTTAGCATACGTTATCCCACACCAAGCTTCTCTTAGACATTCTTATATGGCAGCTTGGTTCGGCACATCAAATTATGGGAAGACACCATACGCTTCATTTCTGTTTCGCAAGCAGCTGTTTGTCAGAAGTTGTGTTTCTTATTCATCTATTTCTGGCATCACATTCACATAGTTTTCAATGTAGAACGTGGCTTGGCCTCTTTCTTCACTGTCCTCAGTTAAAAATGCCACCTCATCATAGGCATCCATTGCACAAGAATGTTATGCTTTGCTTGATTCTTATGGTGAAATTAATTGGCACCCTCATGGACCCTGCGGGAGCGACGCGTCAAAGAAGCTTCCCAGCTTTACTTTGAGATTATACTAAAGCGCCACTTTGAGCAGCTATATATACATGCGCATGAGATATACTTACTATACACCTACAGAGATTTATTCATCTATCAGATATACACGCGCAGCTTAATTCCATGTGTGCATTCCTGCTTATTCATCACCAATATTTTTTTCCTTCTCTCCAAATGTGGTGATATCGTTGTTATTTATTTCAAATATAGTATAGTATTTTGAATTCTTGGCAGCTGCTTTCAAAAGTCTTTTTGTGGAAGTTGTTGGGCAAACAACTCGTATCAGGGTTCACATTTCGTGATAATCAATCTTACTTAGTGCATTTTGTCATCGAGTTGATTGCCATAACAAGCAAAGACACTTGTGATAGAATTAAAACAGACATAGGAAAGGGGGAGGACATATTCGATTATGAGAAAATCTGGGCCCTATTTTGCATTCAAATTCACATGAGACTACCGATATGTTGTAAAAGCCCATTTCAGTGAAGCCTCGTCAAACACGAAAATGGGTTTGTTGCATCGAAAAATTTGTTACAGACATGTACTATTCCTTATACTGTACGAGTGGCAACACAGTTCATCATCTACTTCATTTTAGCCAAAAATTCGTTATAAATGTATGTTCTTCACACTGTACGAGTGGCAACACAATTTCTCATTTGCTCCATTATATTTGAAAGTTCGTTAGAAAATTTTTTTTTACTCTGTATTAGCGGAAGTATCATTCTTTCATTTATTTCACTATAATAAAAAATTCTAGGCTTGTGCGAATAGTGAATTTCAAGTCAGAAGCGAATTCGTGGCAATTTTAAGCAAATAATTATGAGTCGAATTCGAATAGTATATATCATGTATTATAAATAAAAAATGGTATATTTTTTTATTACCTAACAACTTGCACAGTATTCTTAAAAAATTGAAACAAGGCCTGTGCGAATGCCATTTTTTTGGTTCAGAGGAAGGTCAAATGACTTTGAATAGTAAGAAGGCAAACTGTAACCTGCAAATTATGTTCATTTAAAAATTTACTATATTTAGAGCATATAAGCTGGTGTAACAAGCTTTTAAACAATAAATGTGACAAATCAATGTGACTTGTATGATGTTCATTTAACCTTCCAGTAAGGCTTCCTGGCAGTGCGGGTTTTTTCTGCAAAGGTGCTTTCACAGCTCCGCACATCTCTATTGCAGTGAAAGCACCTCTATAGGAGGGTTACATGTGGATCAATATAAACCTATTTGTTTATTTCGCCGAAATTTTCAACTATTTGAATTCAAGTCAAAGTGAATTCGAATACTGTAAACATTCGTTCAAATGTTCGAAGCATTCCAATATTCGCACAAGCCTACAAAAATTTGCTATATTGAGGGTTGGTTGCGATTGCATGTCAGTCCATTTCACTTCATTGTGTCACAACTAGAACAAGCATTACTAATGGCTATGTGATAAGCTCTGATAACCAAAGGATGACAACCGCATTTTTGGGCACTCATACTAAACCAAAGAAGTGCGTTGCGCACTTTCATTTTGTCTCAGTCACCAGAGAACGCACATTTGTGCTTCACAAGCTTTGCTTGAAGCTGGCATGTATGCTTACTTCACAGTCCGGCTAGTCATTAGACTGGGCACTCTTTTTTTTTGTCATGCTCTCAAGGGAACTGCAACAGTCAAATGCCACTTATTATTTATATTTAGCTTGCATCTAACTTATTTACACCTATTTATGATATCTATATTTATACACAAATAACACCTGCCCCAGGGTAGACATTCCGGAGTTGTGGATCCTATTTACTTTGCCACCACTTTCTATTGCTTGTATAATCTGCACTGTGTACGTATGTGAAAGTGCTACCGTTGTGTACTTCAGTGAAACATGCATTTCTTTTCCTTTTCTGTTTCTATGTGTTTTTTTCTTACTTCTTTCTCAGTGTTTTCTGTCGGTCTGAGTTCAGTTGCAAATATGTCATAGGTCCTCTGTCCAAACAAAAAAAGGAAAAGAAAGCAGTGGGTAGGGAGGGATTCATTGAAAGTCGCAATAAAAAGTAAATCTCTACAAAATTTTGGTTTTCTTTAATCAGAGTTTCTCTGTCCTTAGAAGTGATGTCTTGTTTTTAATGCAAAGCTTAAATGAGAACAAAACTATGTAAATGTAGTCATAACAACATAGGCACCTTGCACCCGTGCATTCACGACGCAGTCTACAGTGCCGTGTGCAGTCAACACCATCTGGAAGCATGAGTGGTGTTGGTTCAGTGTGGAAACAGGCCATTCCCGATAGCAGGTTGAAACCAAGCATCGTTCATGATTGACTGAGCCTGTCGCTAGGGAGAAAAGTTGCTTCCAAATCAAAGAGAGAAGCACCGCCTCATAAAGTGAAGACGCCATGTGTCATGGGTCAGAATCCAAACGCTGTACACCGAGGAATGCAGCTTAGTGTTTCAGCCCTGCGTACCTACCATAAACTAGAGTGCCTCTGTAAGCCCCGCCAGTGGGTTTTGTCGGTGTTGGCTTGTCTATCTGATTCCATGCGCTAGTACGTAAGCGCCTACTTGGTAGCTTATAAGTAATGGGGAAAATAATAAAAACATTCTGCCATAAAGGACAGATAACTGGGCTATGAATTTGAGTTTTTTTTATAGTGAGGTAGATTTAATCGAAATAGACAATTAAGGCTTGCCTACTTTAAAAATTTGTTTACTTTATTTATCGAGCCTGGTGTCAAGCTTATCAATGTCCTGTTTTAAAGGGGACGCTGATAGCATCTATTCATTTACAATACTGTATATGGGCAACCTTATGTAGCAGAACTGTGTGTCTGTTTTTCAAACATTGCTGGAAACCACGCGCTGTCGCGAAGCTGATACGCAGGCCTCCCCGCCGTCATTGTAGCAGGCTTCTTTACCAAGAGCGCTACCTCGGTGGTGCCGACACTAAAAAGCAAAACGATTTTTCGCATAGTAGTAAAGTACTATTTTACAATCTTGAAAGTACCACTTTTACGTGACACAACTCTTGGTAAGTGAGAAAACGAAGCGTACGAAAAGCAAAATGCGTGGAGACGCCACCTTGAGATTCGAGCCCCAAAACGCGTGACGTCATAGATTTTTGAAGGCATTTACTGGGTGCTACGTAGCTTGTATTTGATTGAAATGAAGGACATTGCTATCTGTAAGTGCCATGAACCTAGTTTCAGAAAATTTTGCTAAGGCAATGTCATAAAAATGCAAAGAAAAATGCAATAAATTTTTTCACGTCACGTGCGGAGATGTGGCGTGACATTTCAAAGTGAAACTTCGGCCTTCGTTTTCTGCGCTAATAATAAGTTTATTATAGTGAAACATGTGGCATGAGAGCTCTCAGAGTACAGTTCGTCAATTTAGACCAAGCCATCGTTTATCTTTAGTGTCCTTTCAATAAGCATGACCCCCCAAAAATCCACTGCCGAGGCTGCAAAGATGGCCTTTGTGCTCCAGTGGCACAGTCCCAGAAGGCGGTGTTCTTTCATCGCCGCTCGTTCACAACCAGGTATGTTGATCGGCGATACGCCGGCAAACGCAGAATGGGGCTTCGCCGCATATCTGTGGTTGCTGGCAGGAGCTATGCGCAACTCTATTTCTGTGGGAAGCTTAAATAGAGTTAAAAAAAAGCTTCACTGCAGCTAATATGCTTCAGTAGGGGGACTCAATCCTCATGTAAAGGCAGCAGCCTACTGCTTACCTTTGAAGAGCATGCAAACATGGGAAAGGGGGAGGATAAAATCATATTATAAGCGAAGCCGAATAAGTGTATGGTAGAAATGGTAATGGCCTGCTTTGAATGTATCGTGCTTTTCAGCCGGTAGGCGAAAATAGTTGTCTGAATAATTAAAAGAAAAATACAAACAGTACGTCTCCCCGCTACTCTGGTCGCATTCCTTCTCAAGCACTTGTAGCCTTGGTGGTGAAAAACAGACAAGTAATTCGTGATGCATAATAACCAGACCAAACCAGACTAGCGTGACCAAGCTAAAGGCCTGACCCCACGTATCCGTCGCACCCTGTCAGCCCGAGGCTTCTTGATGCGCCCTCTCCCTATAGAGAGAGAGGGTGCGAAGTCATGCCCTCTCTTTCCATATGGGAGGATGCTCAACGCCGTGTCAAAAAGACGCGCGGCGATGCGGTGCGACAAATACGTGGGATCTGAACAGCGCGGTTAGCGTTTCTTTCCGTCACCCCTGTACGTAGTAAATACGCAGGCGAGCTCGCTTGAGTACTTGCAAGGAAATATCAGCGTTCGCTGCCACAGGTTCGGGTACCTCAGGAGTGCCTAATTGCGCAATGCTATCACGAAATAAAATGAAAAAAATTCTTAACATACGACGAAAGATCCAGTGCGATACAGGCTTGAAAAAACAAAGCTAAAATATAGCGTCATGGCACTATATGTCTTACATTTTATCTTTAATTTTGCCGCTGAAATTTCGGTTTGCTACGCTCTTATTGCGATAGGAATTATGTGGACACCTTCTGCTGGATTTTGCCGCCTTTGTCGACGTCGACGTCACTCACTGTATATGTATACGTGTCTATATACATGTAAACGCATGAAAGCAAAATAACCCAGCAAAAGAATCCCGCGGAATCGAACTTGGGACCCGTGAGTGCGAGGCGTTAACCACTGAGCCACTGAGGAGCACATTTTTCAACGTTCAAGCAGCAATCTACATATATCTACCACTTACCGCTGCTAAGGGATCTCGGGGGGGGGGGAAGGGGTAACTAACATGTTTTCAGCATTGCCAGCAAGATGGCGCATTGAGCATGCACCGCAACTACAGAGTCTAGCCACTGTATAGCAACATCGTCACGACGCGGCGGCGCGTGCTCTCATCTCCTACGCGTATTTTGCGCCGCGGAGAGGTAAGGGGCGCTCACTCACGCATCCTTATCTCGCAGTGGGAAGAATCGTGCGTCCTGGCTAGCCTTGAGCAATTATTATGGTGGCTAGAAGGCACCATAGCGATTCTGTTGTAGTCCCCGGGTGCACAATGGTCACTGCAATTGTTGCACAGTCTGCATTTGCGAAAAAGGCGCGCTTTTCGGACACAGCGGAGTGGGTTCTGTTCGGGCTGTCACGGTGGATGGACGTGTTTTTCGAGCGCTCCAGATCGACTCCGCAGATAAGTGTTTTTGCATGTTTTGAGCTTGTCTTTATAATTATAAGGCAGCGGTTGAAATCTTCGTAGCACTTATTTTATGGTACGGCTTTTTTGGGGGCCAGTCACCAGGTATTTATTAGTTAGTGCGGGTGTGTGTGTTTGAAGTTTTTTTTTTTGTTGTTGTTTTTTCTTTCGCCACCCCGTGGGGGAGGTGCGCGTACATTGAACACGCAAATTTTTGTAGTAGAGCTTAGACTTCATTTTTGTTTTCGTAGTGCACGGCTCCAGTTTAGTAATTATCAAGTATAGGGACAATTGGTGTCAGAAAGACATGGTTAAAAAGACTGTAAAGTGTTCAGGATGTGGAGTGGGTTTGAAAGTGGACCAGAGCGTAGAAGCGAATGGAGAAGAGGCTGACGCAAAGTGTAGGCAATGTGAGGTCGAGGAAAAAATGGAGAAAATGATGGTTGCCCAAAGTGAACTGCTGGTGAGAATCGATGAGCTCGAGACTGCGTTGGCGACAGAGCAAGAGAAATCGAGGGCAATGGCAGAAAGACTGAAGTCCACCGAGGAAGCACTAGTGAAGCTGAACAAAGAAGCGGCCTATGGAGAGAACAGTAGAGAACCGGCAACCAGAACGGTGGATAATGAAGAGCAAGTAAGTTTGGAAAAAACAGGTTTAGCCGGTTCAACTGTCGCAAGGCCCAGCTTCAGCGAGGTAGTGGTGGGGCTGGGAGGGGACAAAGCAGCCGGCGTCACAGGTGCAAGTAGCCCCCAGGTGCAGGACGCTCCAGCTGAAAAGTCACAGCATGTGATAATCGCCGGAGACTCGAATTTAAGTTGATGCACAGAAGCCATAAAAGAGAGGGTAAGAGGTGACAAGAGGGTTGCAGTAGGGGCGTTCCCAGGACGCAAGCTTGAAGCAGTCATGAGGCAAGCGAGCGCAAAACTCAAAACTACAGCTGATAGATGAAACCTCGTGATAATTTCAGGCGGTTTAAAGGATGTCTTAAATGAAGATACAGCAGGACTAGCAGCCACACTGGCGAAAGGCGTCGATGACATGCGCGCCACTTCTCCTAAGGTACAGGTAGTGATATGCACGATACCGGAGGTACCGGTGCGTGATAGCAACCTGCAAAGAGCGGTTGTCAACGCAAACCAAGAGATATGGCGGATGAGTCGAGAGAAAGGCTTTGAGGTGGTGGAAATAAACAGAGAGGTGCATAGGGGGGGTGGTTTTCAACGAAACAGAATTCCCTTCGATGGGTGGCTAGGTTATGAGGTGGGTTGGCGACTTGCAGGACGCGCAGTAGCTTTTTTGGGGGGCAAGCGAGCCCTTCGGGGTGCAGGATAGCTAGTAACGAGGAAAACAACCAGGGAGACTCTTCGACAGGTGTTAGGGACAGATACGATACCAAAGTGGCACCAATGTCTAAGATAGGTAGAGTCCGGGGCATAAATAGACGTAGCCACGAGCGCCGAGCCCATTCAGACATAGGGTATATTAACATGCAGGGTGGTAGGAACAGGCTGAAGTGGGAAGAGATAGAAGAACAGCTAAGGGAAGAGAAGTCGATGGTATAAGGTTTTGTAGAAACACATTTCAGGGACATGGAACAACCTCCGAACAATCCGGACTACGCGTGGGAATATTGTAATAGAACAGAAGGGAGCAGAAAGGTGGGTGGTATTGGGGCATTCATTCATAAAAGTACAGACTGGCAAAGGGTCAAGCAGGAGTGCAAGGAACATTTATGGCTAAAAGGGAAAGTGGCAGGTCAAATGACACTCCTTGGTTTCGTGTACTTGTGGACGGGAGCAAAGGCCAAAGAGGAAAACCAGGCAATGGTAGAGTGTATATCAAAGGACATTCAGGAGTTAGGAAGAGAGTGCGAGATAATTATACCAGGAGACATGA